GTAGGGGGGCACATTTAACCCCGCCCTCGCTGCAGTTTGACCCCGCCCCTGTCACATGTTAAGCCACGCCCCTGACACAATGTGTTTTGTTTTTTTAATAATACCTGGTGGAGGATTCATGATTTTCCACCAGGGATTATTAAAAAAACAAACACATTATCCTTGATACAGTGCCATAGTTGCCAACATTTGAAAAAAAATTTCCAAGGACATTTTGCAGCACAGCTATCAATTACTGTCTGGGTATAATATCCCTGGACAGTCAGTGCTCTCTGTATAATACAGGGTTGTGTGTATAATAAAATGGGACACTCAGTGCTCCCTGTATAGTGCTGCTCTCTGTATAATCCCAAGACAGAGAGCAGCACTATACAGGAAGCACTGACTATCCCGGGATATTTTATACACACAGATCTGTATTATACAGATAGCTGAGCATATACCCCAATCTCTAGACTACTAGTACCTGTCAACAGCAGCTCCCAGACGCGTGTAACAGGGCTAAAGTGTGCGGCAGCTCACACAGATGATTCAGCGGTAAAGTGCACTCGCTGGCAGAGCCAAACTGGGAATCCCTGGGAATCCAAAGCAGCCCTGGAAAAAAAACGTATGCCATTCCTACAAGTCAAAAAAAAATAATATATATATATATATATATATATATATATATATATATATATATATATATATATATATATATATTACAGTAAGCACACAAGCTCACTGACATGCGCAAATAGGCTTACTGACAGACAAAACTCTCTGACTCACACACAAGCTTACTACAGACACTCACTTGTATAAACAGAAGGCTCACTACAAAGAAGTTCAGGGACACACACACAAGCTCACTAAAGACAAGCTCACTGACACACACATGCTCACTAAATAGAAGCTCACTGACACACACAAGCAGTACCATTTTAACATAGTTAAGGGCCCCTGGGCAAAGCAATACACTGGGGCCCTTCCTACACAACAACTCACAGGAATTTTAATTATTGATAGACTGCTGAGTCCATACACACACACACAGACTGCTGAGTCCATACACACTCACACACACACACACAGATTGCTGAGTCCATACACACACACACACACACACACACACACACAGATTGCTGAGTCCATACACACACACACACACAGATTGCTGAGTCCATATACACACACACACACACACAGACTCTGCTGAGTCCATACACACACACACAGACTCTGCTGAGTCCGTACACGCACACACACACAGACTCTGATGAGTCCGTACACACACAGACTCTGCTGAGTCCGTACACACACACACACAGACTCTGCTGAGTCCGTACACACACACAGACTCTGCTGAGTCCGTACACACACACAGACTCTGCTGAGTCCGTACACAAACACAGACTCTGCTGAGTCCGTACACAAACACAGACTCTGCTGAGTCCGTACACAAACACAGACTCTGCTGAGTCCGTACACAAACACAGACTCTGCTGAGTCCGTACACACACACAGACTCTGCTGAGTCCATACACACACACAGACTCTGCTGGGTCCATACACACACAGACTGTTGAGTCCATACACACACACACACACACACACTCTGCTGAGTCCATACACACAAACACACACACTCTGCTGAGTCAATACACACACACAGACTGCTAAGTCCATACACACACAAACACACAGACTCTGCTGAGTCCATACACACACACAGACTGCTGAGTCCATACACACACAGACTGCTGAGTCCACACACACACACACACAAAGATTGCGGAGTACACAAACACACAAAGACTGCTGAGTCCATACACAAACAGACTGCTGAGTCCATACACAGACTGCTGAGTCCATACACACACAGATTGCTGAGTCCATACACACACAGATTGCTGAGTACATACACACACAGACTGCTGAGTCCATACACACACACACACACAGACTGCTGAGTCCATACACACACACAGACTGCTGAGTCCATACACACAGACTGCTGAGTCCATACAGTGTGTGTGTATGGGGATAGTGTATGTGTGTAGAGTGTATGTGTATGGGGGGGGCAGAGTGTGTGTATGGGGGGCTGTGTGTGGGGCAATGTGTGTGTATGGGGGGCAGTGTGTGTGTATGGGGGGCAGTATGGGGGGCAATGTGTGTCTATGGGGAGCAGTATGGGGGGCAATGAGTGTGTATGGGGGGCAGGTGTGTGTATGGGGGGTGTATGGGGGCAGTGTGTATGTGGGGCAATGTGTGTGTATGGGGGCAAATGTGTGTGTGTGTATGGGGCAATGTGTGTGTGGGGGGGGTATGGGGACAGTGTGTGTGTATGGGGGGCAGTATGGGGGGCAATGTGTGTCTATGGGGGGGCAGTATGGGGGACAGTGTGTGTGTATGGGAGGCTGTATGGGGGCAGTGTGTGTGTATGGGGGCAATGTGTGTGTACACCCCCACCCCCAGCCTACCTGTCACCTGTGGGGGTCAGGCAGCCATCTTCAGCAGCAGCATGGGCGGCTGCATAACGGCAGGGGCGGGGCTTATCGGCGGGAGGCGGGGCTTCGTTTGGGGGCGGAGCCTGTGCCGGGGAGCCAATCAGTGCTCCCTCCGGCCACAGACAGCCTCCAGCACCTCAGCACTGCATTCCCTCCCCGGCTGTCACAGGCTGTTACAGTCCGAGGGAAGCAGATGGTCAGCTAGTTGCCAGCATTTGGGGGGGCCCAAGGGGGAGCACAGCATGATGTAGGGGGGGCCATGGCCCCCTCTGGCCCCCCCCTAGCGACGCCACTGATTCAATGTAATTACTTAATTTCAGACAAAAATTCTGTATATTGCCCTGGGGAATACCCTGCAGCTTATTTGCTGCCTTTTTGCCTGTAGCCCTTGTTCGGCTCTTCTGCGGCCTGAAGTCACACACGAGGAGGGGGAGGTGGCTACTCCTCAGCTTTGATTTGGAGTCCAATTACCTAGGGATTTAGGGAATTGCCTCAATTGCCAATGTTGCAGTCATTGTTGTGGGTAGAAAAAAAATCTTATTAATTTTATTGCAGAAACGTTGCTTTTTTTTATTGCAGAAACTGCTGACTGGCAAAACACAAGCTATTTTTACATAGCCGATAGAGCTCAAGGAATGTAAAAGAGTAGGGCTCCTGAAAATTGGTGAACTTGATAATTGTGTCCACCTTTATGGCATTTGATAACTTTTTTTTCTCTGTAGGATTAGCATTGCCTGCATCAGCTCAATCTCCAAGTTTTTCATGTTGCATGAGTCGAAGTTGACCATTGGTAGCGATTTCTCAAAATGAATAAAATTATCAGATCAGGGATTCAGAGACTGTACATCTTTCATGATTTACAGAGAATCTTTTGAGGAGCGAGTTTTTAGCTCTGAAATTATTCTATCACGAACATATATAAACATTTGAGATCAACCTATCTCAATACAGAATGCACCTGTAATCATTGTTAGTTATTTTTTCTTACCTGCTCTGTGTTAAATTTATATATGTGTGTTTTAATATAATTTTGTATTTTTAATATAATTTTTTACCTTATTGTAACAATGAATGTAGTGGACCCAGGACATACTTGAAAACGAGAGAAATCTCAATAAATCCTTCATGGTAAAATAATTTATAAATAAATCAAATTATTTGAGCAGTTGTGATATAGTGAAAGAATCTGCACTTTTTTCTATAACGCATTAATTGAGCTGATCATGTTGACCACAGTCTTCTCTTTGCCTTACAGCTCTAAATCTAGCTCATTCAACATGTTTGTCAGGCCAGTAAAAAAAAGCCAAATCTAAAAGCCATTGCTCATCCTCAACTTGTTTCAAATCTGCATTTTTTTTTTGTAGATACGAGAATCTCCTTTATCCCTGTGCCAGAAACTCGTGAAATATTTGCAAGAATTTGCCCCTACTCAAATATCTGACATCTGTATGCAGCAACAGATCTATATGATTGCAGTCAGCTACCTCCAAATAAGCACTAAACAGCCGTACTTGATGTGACGTCATCGAATTGAACAGATGATTTTCATGGTAACTTCCATGACCCTTTTCACTCTCAGCATTTTCACACATAGTGCTTGTTGGTGTATTCATATACAATTATAATAAAGGCAGTCAGGAAAGGTGTCTTCATTCTTGCATTTGGCAATGAGTCCGTTTGACCGCCCTATCCTCACAGGTGCAACGTAAGTGGTGATGGACACCAACTTACACATCGGTAGCTGTATTTTGACGACAAAGTCATCCAATGGAATAAAAATGTCCACACCCCTAGTATGTTCTTTCATAGGCAAAAGTGTTAACAGTTCCTCTTTCACCGTCATGTCGTTAAAAACCATCCTAATAAAAATGCACAATTGTGCCACAATTCTCGATAGCTGAAAAGCTTTGATAGAGGAAAGCTTCTTTTATCATTTGCCCATCTTGGAATGATTTATTTTATGTTCAATGATGGTGTGACTCACCCGGATGCCTCCGTGGCTGCTTTTGCTTTTGTGCCTGGTCGAATAAAAAGTGGCTGTTGACCGATTAGTTGAGATTTCAATTCTTTCACCTTTGTCCTTCTAAACTCGCTTCTGGCAGGGAAATCATTGTTGCAGGTTTTGTGAAGAGTCTGAAAATGCCTCTCCACGTTTCCTTTCTTCAGGAATAGCTATATCTGTTTGTCAAATCAGACAAGTGCATTTAGAAGGACGAATTCATGGTGAAAGTTTCCTTTTTGGCTTTTTGCTTGGTACCACACTCATTTTCAGATGGTAGGAGTTGATTTAAGATTTTATGGTTTGCGGATGAACTACTGTGAACTGCTAGCTTTGCAAGTTTGCGCTCTGGAGTCTAAGGAACATTAAAAATGCTAAATACATAGAGAAGTTTTCATTTTATTTCAGAAGCACTCTTTCCTTTTAAAGTGCAGAACCCATGAATAAGAAAAAAAAAAAAATATATATATATATATATATATATATATATACACGTCGCTGGTATTGCACTCAGAGGTCTTCCAAAAAACAAGAAAGTGTTTAATAAGTCATCAAAAAAATTACGTGTCTGATCGATGTTTCGGCCCATTCTGCCTTTCTGAAGATCACAGTGTAATACAATAAGCCACTACTTTATATAGGTAAAACGTGTAAGAAACTTACCAATAACGAGTGTGCAGTTCCTCATCCAGTGGGTGATCCAAAAGTGCTCATGGAGACAATGTGTCACATGACCTATGATGTGGGGTCATTAGTTGGGTGTCTCCGGTGGTTGCTAGGAAATGTGTACGCAATGAGTGCAAAAGACAGAAAAATCACCTTGGATGTAAAAGAGATGCAGAGAGGACCTAAAATAAGTTGCTAGCAGAGGAAGGCAGGCTCAGGGCAATGTGAGGAGTGCAGATATGAAGTGTTGTGTAGAATATATGTGACTGCAAATACAGTTAAAATTAAGAAAACAGGACATAGATTTGGATCTTCACAGAATTTTCATGTCTGACTCCTATAGAGCTAAAAGAATAGAGTGGCACTCTATAGTATAGATAGCTCGGGACTTTAGTTATTGTTTTCTTTTCACTGAGCACTATGTAGTCCTTTTTTTTGTTTCTTTTAAGAGGGTGATCTCCTCTTGAGATTTTGAGGGGGAATTGAATAGGATCTAGTAGCCTAACGCCCAGCTTAAGACAGCCAAGGTATTTAGACTCAGCTTAGCTGTAGATTCTATTACTTCCACAGTGAGTTATTTAGTTATGTTGTAGAGGTTAGTTATGTGACATTGTAGGATTATTTAGTATAAAAAGGATAGTGATTGGAGGTAGCCTCTGAGTTTGTTATCTAATCTGTGTACCTTTAGATGCTTTAGACTCTTAAGTGAGGGAGATACAACTTACTTTATTTCATTTAAACTATCCAATTTATCTCTAATTTTTCTATTTCATTTTGTGAGGACTAGTTCCTAATTTTTTTCTTGGATCGCCAAGTTTGAGGAAATGTCACATAGATTAACAGGCTTCACAGACAGCTTCCAGTGGAGGTGGTTGAGATGGAGGAAGTAGCAATATTTAGCATAATATAAATGACACATATGCAACCGAGAGGCATTTCCTCCAGGCTGAAGGAGAATAATGACGAGTTACAGGTGACATTGCTTACTTCGTGCACTGTTTCTTCTTTTTGTTTATTACTTGTTATTTATTACCTTGTGTTTTAAAAAAAAAATGATGTTTACCTCTTTACTATATTAAAACTGTTTGTACCGCATAGGACACTTGTTTCCCACTATATACGTCTACGCAATGTGAAGCCCTGAACTGTCTACAACAACATTACTCACTGTGTGCTCAGATGTTTAACCTTGATGTCCGTGAGAGGACTATATTAAACTGTTATCAATGA